GCACTTTGTGCAGATGGTGCATTCCATCCCTCATTACCTTCTCCACCTATCTTCTCCCGTCTTCTTCCTCCTCCTCCCTCTCTTCGCCTCTGACTCGTTCCAGGTTGAGGACTGCATCTCCTACCTTCTCCGCAAGAGGAAGCAGGACCCCTACGAGAATGTGCTCGTGCGCTCAGCCTTCGAGTCCCTCAACCGACGTCAAGCGCCCACGTTCGAGATCTGAGAGCGCGCGGACACAGGAGGAGGAGAAGGTTGAGAAGGAGGAAGAGGAGGAGGAGGAGGAGGAGGAGGAGGAGGAGGAGAAGGCAGGTATTTGAAGGGGATGAAGAACAGTACTACAAAGTGAGGACAACATGGAAGAGCGTTGGAAATCGCGAACGTAGAACGAGACGAGTCGTAGTGATGAGATGTAATGAATATTCCAAAGCTTCATAAGTCAGTAGAACTGCAGTCCCGTTAAAGTCGGTTGAGAAGGCTTGTTGTTTGCAATGATCTCCCTTAGTCGACTTGCATGCTTGTCTGATACCCTCGGGTTGCCGTTGAACATGCTGAAAGAACAAAAATATTACGATCATCGTCATGGTCATGATACTTTCAATCAATATCACGACCACCTGATCATCATCATCATCAACATCATCACCATCATCATCATCATCATCTCAATCACCATCATTATTTCCATCATCATCATCTTCTTCTTCATTATCATCATCATCATCATCATCATCATCATCATCATCAATATCATCATTTCATCGGATATTTCACCTGTCTCCCATCGCATTGTACAACTCAACCACTAGCGCGCTGTTCGCCGCTCTGACGTCTGACTTGTGCTCCTCAAGCTTCAATGTCGTCAGTTGAGAAGAGACGAGACGAGAAGAGAAGAGAAGAGAAGAGAAGAGCAGAGCAGAGCAGAGCAGAGCAGAGCAGAGCAGAGCAGAGCAGAGCAGAGCAAAGCAGAGCAGAGCAGAGCAGAGCAGAGCAGAGCAGAGCAGAGCAGAGCAGAGCAGAGCAGAGCAGAGAAGAGAAGAGAAGAGAAGAGAAAGAAGAGAAGAGAAAGAAGAAAGAGCAGTGCAGGAGAGCGAAGAAAATAGAATTGGGAGCAAGAAACAATACGAACAAGACGGAGGAGCAAGAGTTACCAGCTTGATAGCAGAAGTAAGGAAAAGCTTTTGGAGGAGAACAGGTTTCTTCGTTCCCAGCTGCGGCACCAGCTCCCTCATCCTCTCCAGCAGCGCCGGACGCGCGCGCTGGTTGCCAAACTCGAGAGAGGAGCACAAGGGCTGCGCAAGCACCTGAAGAGGGATGAGGACGAGAGAAGGAGGAGGAGGAGGAGAGGGAGAAGAAGGAGAAGGAACACCACTACCACCACCACCACTACCCAATGAAATTCTCACCGTCGGGTCGACGGAATTGCAGATTGATTCAAGGACGCTGCTAGCTAGAGTACGAATCTAAGAGGTTAGGAGCAGATGTCAGAACCAAAAATTCTCTTCTCTCCTGCTCCATCTGTCCTCTCCTCCCATCTTCTCCTCCTCCTCCTTTCTCTTTTCCTCCTCTCCCCCCACTTCTTCCTCCTTGTCCTCTTCTTCCTCCTCGTCCTCCTCCTCGTCCTCCTCCTCGTCCTCCTCCTCGTCCTCACCTGTGGTGAAGTATTTGACAAGTTTGCACAAACCGCTGGGACCAGAACAGCTGCAAGAGCGACGTGAGAGAGAGGGAGAAAGATCAAGTACACGTACAAGTACAAGTACAAGTACAAAGAAGAAGATCACAACAGAAAGGAAGCACGAGCATAAAAATTTGTCAGAAGCAACAAGCAACAAACAACAAACAACAAACAACAAACAACAAACAACAAACAAGAAATTGGACAACATCACAAGGATCACAACAACGCAGATGACATTCACAATGATGATAACCCAAAGACAGTCTTCTTCTCATCACCTGCCGAGGAGTCCAGCATACCCCCGTAAGTTTCCACCACCCGATCGACCCCTTGCAAAGCCGCCAGAGCTACCTGAAAGAGCAAGAGTGAGCAAGAGCCGATGTCCATGTGGAGGAGGAGGGATCGAGAAGGAGAAGGAGCAGGAGCAGAAACAGGAAGAAGAGAACAAGGAAGAAGGGGAGCAGGAGCAGAAGCAGCAGCAGCAGCAGCAGCAGCAGCAGCAGCAGCAGCAGCAGCAGCAGCAGCAGCAGCAGCAGGAAAAGGACGAAAGGAAGAAAGCGAGGAGGATAAAGTAGGAAGGAGCAAAGAGGGGCGGAGGAACAAGAAACGAAGCATGACCTTAACATTGTTGTCTCCTAGACGACCAATAAACATATCGACAAAGTATGAAGTTCTCGATTGAAAGACCTGAACCAACTTTCAGAAATGTACTTCTCTCCCTTCCCGTTTCTCTCCGGCGTTTCCACAGTCTCGTTCATCATTATCTCAATCACCTGTGGTTCTTTCAAGATGAGTTCAGTTAGCTCGTTGACTGCATCGTATCGGCTTCTGAAATCATTCGAGTTGATCTGAAACGGCAAAACTTGCATGAGCACAAGAAATAGAGGAAAAGACGAGAAGAAAGGGAGGAGGAGAAGGAGGAGGAGGAGAAGGAGAAGGAAGATAAAGGAGGAGGAGGAGTGGAGATGGAAAAAGGACAAGGATAAGGAGGAGGAGGAGGAGGAGGAGGAGGAGGAGGAGGAGGAGAGGAGGGGGATGACAGATGATAAGCAGGATGGGAAGGAGCAGGAGAGCGGGGCGAGGTGAAGCAGGAGGAGGATGGGAGAGGAAGTCTGACCGAGGAAGCGATTAGAGGCACTCGATCCATAGCAGGCGACTCGGCCCATCCCTTCCCCACGTCCACCCGACTTGCGATGCTCTTGCGCTGCTGCTTGTGCACCCGTCAACTACCTGCCTCCCTCTCCCCTCCCTCTCATCTCCTCCCCGACTGGGCTCACGGGTCCACTTTTCTCCTGCTGTCCGGTCCCTGACGTGTCGCTGATTTCTTCTCCTCTTT